ATTCTGTGTTCAATATATATAAATATATAAGTATTATATATAATAATGAACTCAAGGTCAATATATATATATAATAATGAACTGTTGAAATGGATACTCTGTATTAATTATGTGAATTTATGTAGGTCTTGTCTTGCACCTCCTGGCTTTGCGCATTTATAGAGCATATGTTTTCTTTTTTATAAATTTCAACATTTTACTCCATTTCGTGTGCAACAAAACTAAGCATTATATGAGACTACAAATCCCATGGAACTGAATGTAAAGACAGATTGTAATTAAAAAGCCAATACCTATAGATATGCATCCCATGGGGGATCATGGATTAATGATTCGATTTTAATATGATGCTTCTCTTACCAAATGATCATTGCGATTATAATGATTTGATCTCCCGTTGCTTCTGCTCAAGGATTTTTATCAATATAAATAATGAAAATATTAAGATGTAAACTTTCTTTCTCCACTCAAACTCATCTCTTTTGCATACTTTTCATAGTTGCATTAGTTTTCCTTTCTGTGCACAAGATATCAGTACTGAATTAGGCTCCCATGCTCTAAATCGTATAAGGCCCAAAGCATGGTCAACAACCAGGATAAAATTCTAGTTTCACTTTAACAGAATCGATGTACACAATAATGAAAATCGGGGTACATAATAATGAATCTTCATGAAGTGCTAACCCGACCCATACTTTCAACCAAATGAAAATCGCCCACAATGATAACACATCAACCAGAACGCATGTGACAACGTGATCAATACAGTGAAAAATAATTTGGATAAACTCAAGAAATTTATATTTTTAATGCTATTTTTGGGTTATTTACATAACAATCCCTAACAATCAGAGCCTCTGTCGAAGGAGGATGCCCAGCAAGAGTGAAGTTTTCCTCAAATCAACTACAAAAGAAGGCCATTGATTTTCCAGTTCTTTTAGTTCTTGGGTTGCTTTTGTTTGGCCATCCACCACATAGGACTTGTCTTTCTTCACAGCCTCATACTCATCCATGAACCCTATGGTGTCCAAGACACATTCCTTCTTTTGCTTGTGCAGAGATGACGATTTGATTTCACAGTCTTCAAATTCTTTTTATTTGTTTTTCAATTCAGCCTGCAATCTAGAGATTTGCTCCTTTAGTTCAATAATATAATCCTCAGTATTGTGGATTTCAAACACAAGATTTCTGGCTGCTTCCTCCCTTTGAGAATGTCAGTCATCGATCCATTTCTCTTTCTCTTTAAGCTTGGCGAATGTGTCGAGGTTATCAGAAGCTTGCTTGAAGGATGAGAGAATTCTTTGGATTTCTTGATGAAGAGAATCTATTTTGCCTCTAATAAGGCCGTGAGAGGAAGGTTCTTCTTCAGAAAATAGGTGGACAAGAAGTTGAGTACATTCTCAAGGCGATTAATGTGTTTTTTAGAGTTAGCTATCTGATGGAGATCCATTTTCAATGAGGATTCTGTGTCAGTAAAGGCCATAGCCACCTTGTCATCTTCAAGAGAAGCAATTTTGGAAATATAAGGCAGGCGAACTTCCAAGCCGGAACCATCCTTCATTATTTGAAATAATCGAATAAGATCATCATCAATGGAGATCTCTCTTTGGTTAACCATAATTTCACCCTAAAGGAAATGAAATGAAGCATTAATTTGCAAAGTATGAGATACTAACTCTATGGGTACCAGTTGATGATCAAATTGTACTATTATAGCATTAGTATATGCAAATTTTAAAGAATAAAATTAGATTCCAAAACTGATGCAACACATTGAAGGCTTACTTGTACAGATTGATTAGTAATAGCAGAGCTGCTTGATTCCATTTCCATGTGAGTAATTGAAGTTTCTATTTGAGGATTTTTGGGAGAAGGGATAGAAGAAATCTAAGATCATAGGAATAGGAAAATTAATCTCAATGAAAATCAATAATGTATCAATAGTGCATATATATTAAAAACCAAATATTTACTGGTGGAGAAGAACATTCATTGGTAGGTTCTTTAACTCTTTGAGGAGCTTCATTGGAGCTTCTACCTTCTCCAAGTGCTTGGTGATCACCGATTGATTCCTTTTCACATAACTCCTACGCAAAGGAATAATTAAGCAACAAGTGATATATTTAAAGCAAAAAACTAACTTACCTTCTTAAAGACTGATGTGCCTAGATTCGAGATCGGTAGCTCAAAATGAGTTGGTGAACTTACATTGTAAACCAAATTATCCTAAATGAACATAAAAATGCAAAAACTATCACAAGGTCATGTCATTTAGCATATAATAACTCAACCCATATTAGGAAGGACTATATTCTTACTATTTATTTTCTACAGGAATAGCAGATGCAGTTTGTGACGTATTGTTCGATTCTCAATTCATGGTTTAATATGCGTTTCTAGCTTCATCTAATTCAGTACCTTCTTGAATACTTGGCTCCACTTGTTTCTTAAATTTGTTTTAATTAGTTTACCCATAGCGTCAACTTTGATGAATATATAAGGGTGAAAGCATTTGTTGAGAAAAGACTCTTACCTTGTCAGACTTTGATGGTGGAGTTGCTGCTGTATTTGAAGTAGGAACTTGTTCTTCCACTGTTGATACCTTAGTATTCTGCACAGTTCATAAAATATGAATAAGTTGTTAAAGAAGTTCAATTAACCAAGCAGAAAGCTTTTTATTAATTGAGGAAAGTGCTCAATGAAAATAAAAAATTATTACTATTATGAGACATTTCCACCTTGCTGCACATATAACTTGAAAAAAAAAAAAAAGGACTGAATATACATACATACATACACACACATATATATATATAGGTGAAAGCATTAATTGAGAAATAACCCTTACCATATCTGAGTTAGATGATAGAGTTTGTAGAGGGCTTTTCTTCAACAATTTCATTTCCTGATGTATTGGCACTCTACATAGCCCACAAATTACGAATATATCAGTTTCTAAACGGGTTAAAATAATTAAGAAGCATATCCTATATTAATTAAAAGGGAAATTGTTTGTTGCTCTGTGGGTCACTATTGTCATAGAAAAGCATAACGTACACATTTTTATAAAATTTGACGAATTTGTGGTGCCTCTTTTAGCAATCTCTTCTGATAATTCCTTGCTCTAAACATAAAAAAATTGTATAATAAAAAGAAGATAAACTGAGCTTTGATGTTATTAATAACTATAATAAATTAAATCTCATCACACAACAAGAAAGAAATATCTTTATATAATGGAATAAATGGATAAGAAAATGAGGTAAGAGAGAATTCATTAGTGAGTTTAAGTATTCTTAGTCAAAGGAAAGTATAAACACGTACATTTTCAAAATTTGGAGAACCATTGCTCTGTTGGGGCATTGCTGAGTCATTTCCAACATCTTGTGATCCCTCTTCTTCAATCTGAACAATAATAGAATATACACATTAGCTTACTGTTAGAGTCAGCTTTGATTCCTAGATGTGCATCAGCTACTCGTACAAACTCTTCTATAAATTGAAAACAAAATCATTACTATTAAGTTCTTTCCACTTCCGCATTGCTACATAACTGAAAGATGATCGATGAAAATACAAGTGAAAGCATTTGTTAAGGAACGAGTCCCACAATAACTGAATCAGATGACGAAGTTGTTGCTACTGTATTAGAAAATAATTTGTGTTGAAAACTGAGTTGCTAGAAAAGTTCAGTTCATAAAGAAGCAAATCATACATTTATTGAGAGAGAAACCTTTTCTTCGTTAATGAGCCTGAGTCATTATTGTGAAGCATAAGTTTGTACCTCTGTCAAATTTGGGGAACTATTTTTCTGCTTTGGTATTGCGGATTCTTTTTCAACAGCCTCCTTGGATGCCTCTTCACTCTAAACAATCAATCACAAAAAAAATATAAAGAGAGATAAATTAAGTTTAAGTGTCCAATAACCTTTGTATATCCTGGCCCACAAAGAAGAAAAAACCGTTCTAGATTTATTAACAGCCTGCTAAAATTTGGGCCAAGTGAGAAATAAATTTGTAGGCTTCTTTAAAGTTTGTTGATTATAGAAAAGTATAATGTATGTACATCAGCTTGGTCTTGAGTACTATTGCTCTGTTCTCATATTGTATCGTCTCTCTCACGAGCTTCCTTTGATTCTTCTTTTCTCTAAGCAATGATAATAAAGAAATTAACGAGTTGAAGTCATCAAGAAAAATACTGATCTTAGCCCACAAAATAACAAAAGTAGGAGAACTACTGAATTTCTACCAAAATTAGTAGAAGTCTTTTTGACCAGAAAAATTAGTAGAAGTCTAGCGCTAACCTCATAAGCCCAGCTGCAAATAATATCGCATGTGGAGTAGAAGTCATGGTCATCTACAAAGTTCATCTTTGACATAATTATATACTGCACAAGCAAAACCACAATTTCATTATTATTAGAATGAGAAGAAATCATATATAGCAGTTAGTGATTTCGATTAACTACGTATATGTGAATACTTACTCTCAAGGAGCTGACATTAGCTGAATGGATATTGCTACAATCTTGCATAATACGGATTTTCACAGTTTGGAAATCAATTCCATGATAGATAGTGTGAAGACTTGGTAGTTTTACCAGTCTTATTGCAAGTAAATTTGGAAGTGTAATACCTATCCCTTATATACTAGTAGAATTATTCTATTTAATCATGATCCATTAAAAGCTAGGTTTCATCCTGGGAATTATATATATTTTTATTTCCATCCGGCCCTTCGAATCCTGAATTAAGTCAACTATATCCAATAGAGTTTAACATTTGACACCCTGGCCATTGGCTCACACGACGAGATACGTAATTAGATACACATAATTTTAGGCCAAATAATAATTATATCAAAAAAAAATTTTGATCATTTCCTTCAATAGCAGTCATTATGATCTATCTGCCCTTAGTCATCTCCTTATGGAGGAATATTTACATACCAAAATGGATATACAATATATATCTTTACTCCAAAATAAGGTGCATTTTAAGCAAAATATATATGTACAAATGATCGCCAGCTTCCTGCACCTTTAAACTCCACCAATCACTACTCCCTTGCCCTTAGGAGTACTTGCTCTTGCTGTATTACATGGAAGAAGGGGTGAGATTCTAAAGAATCCCAGTAGTAACAAATTTCCCTCACGTAATCATACAAGATCACAAACAACATGCTACACAGGCCAAAGAAAACAACACCTTGCATCCAAGTATAATCAATGATGCATATACACCATACACCCATATAGCTAATCGCTATCTATCGCGCCCACATTCCAAAATAAATGGAAACCAGCGCATATTGTCATGACAAATATTATTATGCAAAGGAAACTTACATGTTCTCATGCATAATCAGCATAAAGGCACATCCAAGCATGTAGCAATCCATATACAATCACATTAAAGGAAAAGAGTTACTACCTTTTGCTTTTTCTTCTGTACTAACTTCTCCTTGCTTCTTCCTTGGCTCCCTTCTTAATGGACTTGAACAAATATCAAATCCTATAAATTATATAGGGAGTGGTAGATTAATATATATATATATACATATATATATAAGTATATGTAAAGTAGATTATTTATTCCAATTCTTTCAAAAATGAATATGTACCCTGGAATATTTTCAGGATCCTACTTAATATTTATAACAGTAACAACACTTCACCCATACTTTCTTGAAATTCCAGCTTCATAAACATCATTCTACCCACTACTTTAATGTCCCAAATTTGGATTTTGCCTTCCCAAATCAATATTCAACATTAAAATGTATTAAAGAATGAGTACTCAATTAATTTCAACAACTCTTCCTAATCTATAGAATTTTCCAGAATTATAAATATTTAAAGCATTAACTCAATGCTAACCTTTCCTAGCATATCCACAAAATTTTCATCAATTTCTAGCTTCAAAAATTTCAGATTCTCACACGCATAACCAGCCACACACATATATAAATCTATCCACAACTCTTTGACCATCTCCCTTTCCACTAAATCCAACGGGCCCACTTTTCTTACATGACAATTTCACTTTCAACCACGACATATTCATACAGACACACACTTCCAAAATATTCCTTTATGTCTTCACTTTGGGCTTTAATCATCTCTCTTCCTCTCCTACATATCACGCTACATTGAACAGCAAATCTGAAAATTTTTCCGGATACCAAGTGTATTCCCAAACCAGTCACCGAAATCTCAAAAAAAGAAAGAGTAAACATCATGCCATTGCGCATATATATATATATATGTATATGTATATCACAACCTCATCTTCTCTTTCATAAAACCTAACGCTCACACCAGAAAAGCAGAACAGGGGCTCGGTTCAAACATTCCAAAAGCAAATCAACAACATATACAACCCCATAACTTACTTGATCAAGCCTCTATCAACACTTTACTACTTTTGTTACATTTAGATACTGATTTTTCCTCCATAACCGAGAGTTTTAAATTGCCATTTCCTCTTCTAACGTTGCAACAGTTGAGAGAAAGAAGAGTAGGAGAATGTTCACAAGGCTTACCTTGCTTGATTTCCTCCTTTGAACGAACCGATCTTCTCCTTCAATCACCTCCTCTTCTTCCTCGTTCTTCCCTTAGTGCACCGTCCCTCTCTTGCTCTGTTTCAGTCGTGCAGCAGGGGAAAATAAGAAGGGAGAAGATATTAGGGTAGAGTAAGTCGGTAAGGGCGTGTGAAATAACTATTATACCCTTTGGACTTCATTTTCCCTTCAATTTGATCCTTCTCTATTTTTCCAGGATAATCAGATAATTCTAGAAATCAAACCTGGATATTTTATATGGATTTTCTTCTTCCATTAGCTTCTTTAGTCCATGAAATAATTTTCCTAAAAATCTCAGCTCAAAAATTATCCTCTAACTATTTTTCCTTGAATTTCCAAGAAAATAGGTTCTAAATTCCTGAAATTAACTTTATAATTATTTAGACCATATTTTAAAGGTCTTAATCTCAACAATTTCTCTAAAAATTTCTCTTTCATCATGCTTTACTCAAATCCATAAAATTTGGGATATTACAGGAAGCATATCCTTGATGACCAACTCTTGCGGCGCGCCCTGCTTCCATTAAAATACTCGCGCAAGCTCAGGAGCATCTTCTATCTCCAACGTCAAGAGACATGGAAGTTTCGCACATGAATAAGCATTTCAACTTCTTTCAGTGATTTACTCGAATACTGCGTAGCTTTGAGAAACATGGTTGATGCGGATCCAAAGGATTTTGGTGATTCTCTTCATCATCCTCAATTATGCCCACCAACTCTTCACAGTCTGATATGAATAGCCTTCTCAATTCTGGTATGCCTCTCGTGGTGAAGCAGACAGTATGAACTTCAACTATTTGTACTTTTTCAAATTCTAGAACAGAAAGGTTTTGAAAGCTCAAAAAGATTCTAGGTCCCACGTATGTATCCCTTAATCAGCCAACTCTTGCAAGTTTGATAGCGGCTTACCTTTCTCCTTGAAAGATAATGCCTGTAAGCATACAATTGAGATATACTAGTATTAAAGAGTCTCTTTAGGTGATTGATTATAAACTAGAGAAGCAAACTGCAAAGTGGTTTACCTTTCTGCTTGAGAGATCTTGTCTTTTGTGTCCACCAACCAAGAAATCTATAAAAATTTGGGGAAGCTGTTCACTTCCTCCAATAAAAATATATTCTAGGTGTAATACCTCCACATAATAGTTTTCTGTGCAAATACTTGGTACATCTTCAAGATATATTATTTTTCACGGTTGGGAGATTAAGTTTACTCTGAACATTATGATTCTGATCAGCATGACATTCTTGAACTACATATTTCATCTTTTCTGCCTTTTTGATGCTCACAAATCCCAATTCCTCAAAGTCTTTTGAATAAAAAGCTGGGAATACATATTCCATATTGTTACGGCTCCAAATATAGACTTGTTGTAAGTTTGGAAAGATAGAGTACACATTCATATGACCTTGACCATTAGCCCCCTTGTATGTTATTATATGTTCCAGGGCATCACACTCCTTGAGATACAATGTTTCCAAGAACTTCAGTGATGAGGCAATGGATATGGTAAAGAGTGATGTTAACTTGGAAAATCCAGTTATCTCAATTCCTCTCAAATTGGATTGATATAATGGTGGTAGAAAATATCCATAAGCTGTATTTGGCATATACTTCGCTTTGGATGCCTTGGTTAAACACAAACATGTTAATTCCTTTTTTCCTTTTTCCTGGTAAATACATATGAATTCTTCTTCAATAAACTAATAAAGAACATTTTAGCATGTTGTTATATTTAAAAAAATAGAAAGTACTTTTTCTGGCTCTTTACAGAATTTGCAAAAGAAGAATTAAAGAGAAATTTTATTTAGCTTTTCTATCAATTTATAAATACATAAATATTTTTAACTTCTCCCCTAATTTTTCTCATATTGTAAATAAAAGAAATGCTCTCTTTCAATATAAATTAAGTTCAAACTGAAATTTCCATCTTTTGCTTTTTCTATTCTTTTCTATTTAAACAAGAAAAAATTGCAAATAATGACCCTAGAAAATATGAAATTGTGATTTGGATTCTTCAAATCCTAAAATTATTGCCAGGACTAGGTCTTGAGTATAAATTAGCAAATTTTGTACAAAAGATCAAATTGCGCTCCTATTCCTTAGAATACTTACATTGTTATTTGAAATACTTGTAATTTTTAAAACCATACTTATTATTTCATAGTACAGACTTGTTATTTAAAATAAATAACTTGTAATTTTAAATACTACGCTTGGTATTCTTAATAGCTCACTTGTTATTTTCAACAGGACAACTTGGTCTTTTACGCAATATTTCCTAATTCATATTTATGATTGGGTCCCTAGCAGTAACTTTTTTAATTTAAAAACCCAAATTATAATTTTATATTTTTCAAGATCTTTATTTGTGATTTTTCCTTTAAACAATTACCAAGAAGCGAAAATGATATATTTTAATTCATATGACATCAACTTCTACAATAAAAATTAAGAATGTAAATTCAACATTCTAAATACTTATGTAAATGAAAAAGTAAAATAACGAGAAAAAATTCAACAATAAAAATGTCTTAAAGTGGAAATCAGATGTGAAAAAGTAACTTACAAATAACATCAACCATATTTTTGGACAAGCCATCAAAATAATAATATATGTATCTATTCACACACAAAAAGCTAGCACAAGTAGAAATCTTCACAAAACAATAAATTTTATCTGCTTAAATATTCACAAACTAAAGAAACGAGTAGGAAAGAGGTTTATCTTTTCCTTTGAGAGATTATCTCTTTTTTGCACATCAACGGATAAATCCATAGCATTATTTATGAGAAGTTGTGGGTAGTTTTTCAAACTTATATCTTGTGGAGATAATGCCTTCACAGAATACTTCTCGTTGCATATACTCACCCTATTTGGCACATCATGGAGGTGTAGTCTTTTGAGATCCAGGAGATTAAGTTCGATATGAACATTACGCCTTTGATTGGAATGACATTTTCCAAACACATATTTCAACTTTTCAGCATTGAAGACTTCAAGCTGTTTTAAGTTGGAAAAGATATAACAATCATTCATATGATTATAAACATGCCCCTCATCTACGGCTATATGCTCCAGTTCACTACACTTCCTGATTGTCAATTCTTCTAACAATTTCACTGATGAGGCAATGGATAGGGTAAGAAGTCGCTTCAACTCAGAAAATCCCTCTATATTTATCTTTCTCAAATTCTTGTATGGACATAATGAAGGTGTAAAAAGTCCACTAGCTTCACTGAGATGTTTGTCCTTTAAAGCCCATGTTACATTAAAGTATATTTGTCAATATTTTATTATATTACAAAATTGCAATCATAGCAACCAAAAAGAGTGAGAGATAAGTACTGAGTAAGGTTCAGTTAATTGGCCTTAGAAAAAGATGTTTTATTGATACTAAAGGCACTTGCCTTTGAAGATAAACAACATAGAGGGCCCCATGATTTTTGTACCTGGGAAGGTTGTGGGAGATAATATTATGGATATATGTTGATGAATTTTGGTACGTTAGCAATTTCTATTCCTTGTAGTAAGGGGAGTTTGATATCCTTTTCCATTTGATACATTCCTCCCTCCTCTAAGCCTTGGCCAAATATGTATTTTAACTCATTACAACCATTGACTATCACACCTAGCTCTTTGCAAGGAAAAATTGGCAATATAAATTCCAATTCATGACATTTTTCAACCTTGAAAAACTTCAATTTTGGGAACATTAAGTGGCGGATCTTTTGATTAGGATCTTGATGATCATCCACTTTCTGCTATGCTAATCTCACATCATCACTTATTAGGCATTTCAACTTTAAGCATCCTCTTATGTATAAATTTTCCAATTGCCGTAGACTCTGAGCTGTGGATGAGTGGAAAAGACATGTCATTCAACAATCATTTAACTCTATAGACTTCAGATTACTTAGTTCTAGCTTGCCCTTCAATAATGTGCCATCTAGTTTACCACAATGATTTAAGTATAGCTTCTCTAGTTGCTTGAGAAAGTCACTAGGAGAATCACGATGACATAATTCCCTCACATACATATTATGAAGTCATAGCTCAACTAAGTTGGAGAATATGGTTGCATCAGATTATATTCTACTTGTATTGACAAGGCATTGTACTGGAAGCTAAGAGTTCAAAAAGAGCCTAATTAAGCCATTTAGGCCATCATCTTCTTTAGGATGAACCATGTCACGAATGAGATTCGCCCATCTTGCTTCATCACATTCTATTAACTGGAGAATCTCTGCTCTTGCTACAAGGGATTTGAATGTGCTTTTAGACAAGATCCCTTTAACTTGGTTGAATTGAAATATCTTTTTATTGAAGCATCCAATTGAAAAGAACGCTGGTAGGAGTAGTTGCTTTCGATATGATATATTCCATATTTTTAAAGATTTGTGATTTTAGAAGGCTTTGCTTTATTTTTAAGTGTCATTATTTGAAACATAATACAATACTACAAATTTTGAGCATCTTCCAATCACTTCAAATGGATTATTCCTTTTGATTGAAGATTGAACCAAGCCTAACGATCTCAATTTCTCTAGTTGGCTAACATCATTTGGCAATTCAATAATTGAACAATTTGTCAACTTGAGAGTTTGGAGTTTTTTCAGGTTTTGCAAAATAGATATATCACCCAACTCCCAATTTGCTAGGGATAGTGTCTGGATATTTTCAAGTGAATGAATTGATTTTGGTAGTGATAAGGCCAATTTTCTCCCAAACTCAACATTGGAATACAAAAGAAAAACTCTAAGTCCCTCCATGCCTCTAAAGAATGTGTCAGCAACTTCCAAAGAATGATTTGCATTTACCCATACTAAAAGAACCTCAAGATTGTTGCTCTCAAAAGAGTTGGAAAAGTCATCTATCGTCCAGGATGAATATTTTATATTCTCCTTCAATTTTCTTTTAGAATCCATGATTACTTGAATCTTTTCATCTCCTATATGTTGGGCCACATTAGAAATCACATCAAGCATCTTTACACATCCTTTTTTTGTAGTCAACAGTAAAGCAGAACTTACGAGTGTGGTT